TTTGCCGCCCTTCATGACCGTAACGCCAGAGTACGAGCTGATGCCGTAATCATTGAATAGCCATTCAATGTCGATGGGTAAGTCCCCGCTAGAGATTAGACAAGTGACCGATACGGAATCTTCGACGTTTGTGGGCTCTTCTCCAAAGTTAAAGGGCGTGATTTTGGGAGGGACTTCAGGGTAATGGGCAATATCAAGAAAACAAAAAGTGAATCAGCTTTAAATAAGAAGAAATCAAATCTAACATATATGCAATATATTTTCATAATCAAGTGTGCGAATACCATTCACAGTGAGCTCAGCTGTATAATTAACGGCAGCCGCGTGATTCTTGGCCCGGCAACTGTACGTCCCAGCGTGGTGGGCCTGTACATTGTCGATACCTAGGACACTGCTGCGCTTGCCGCCCTTGACAACAGTTATGCCCGAATAGGAGCTGATGCCGTAGTCCTTGAATAACCACTCGATTTCAATGGGCAGATCTCCACTGGAGATGAGACAAGTTACGGACACCGAGTCCTCCACATTAGTGGGCTCCTCTCCAAAATCAAAGGGCGTTATCTTGGGCGGTACTTTAAGCAAAGAGTTGAGTGTGTCATGAGAATGTGTCGGGGGCAAGGGGTTTAAACCAACAAATCAAACGAAACTGAATACAAATATCAAAAGCAATTTCCAGCTAATATACCAAAATACCATTCACAATCAACTCCGTCGTATAATTAACTGCGGCCGCGTGATTTTTAGCCTTGCAGCTATATTGTCCGGCATGTCGAGCCTGGACATTATCAATGCTCAGCATACTGTTACGCTTGCCGCCCTTCACTACGTTTATGCCCGAGTACGAGCTGATGCCGTAGTCATTGAAAAACCATTCGATATCAATTGGTAAGTCGCCGCTGGAGATCAGGCAAGTTACCGACACTGAATCCTCAACATTTGTAGGCTCCTCTCCGAAAGTAAAGGGCGTGATTTTGGGCGGTGCTTTAGATACCAAAATAATTCAGATGTGTGTTACATGGTGTATAAAAACAAATGATAATTTCAACGGAATAGAAGTAAGAAAAACAAAATGAAAAACGAGTCTCTGCAGCCGTGGCTTTTAGCTTAGTTAGATACCATTCACGATCAGTTCGGTTGTATAATTGACGGCTGCTGCCTGGTTCCTGGCACGACAAGTGTAATTTCCCACATGGCTGGCATGGACATTGTCGATGCTCAGGACGCTGTTCCTCTTGCCGCCCTTCATGACCATTATACCCGAGTACGAACTGATACCGTAGTGATTGAACAACCATTCGATGTCGATGGGTAAGTCTCCGCTCGAGATCAAACATGTCACCGAGACAGAGTCCTCAACATTTGCGGGCTCTTCGCCGAAGCTAAAGGGTGTTATTTTGGGTGGTACTTGGGAGCAGCAGAAAGGATAAAGGGGGATCCAACAATAGTAAGAAATAAGTCTTAAATCAAACGGAACTCTTATAGAAGATATAAATATAATAGATGTCAGGCTCTTGCCAACCATTGACAATGAGCGCTGCTGAGAATTCGCTGCTGGCGGCCTTATTCTTCGCCTTGCAGCTGTAGTTGCCCGCATGTCCTGCATGCACAGAGTCGATAGTCAGGAGGCTTGTTCGCTTGCCACCTTTGAGCACCGCAATACCGGCAGCATAGTTGACCGGTAAGCCCTCGAACAACCATTCAATTTCAATGGGCAGGTCACCCGAGGTCACCAAGCAATTGACAGAGACCGAATCCTCAAAGTTAGCCGGTGCTCCGCCGAAATCAAAGGGCGCTATTTTGGGCGGAGCTGTGGGTAGAATCGTGTGTGTTACGAAATGAAAATCATAGCAAAAGTCAAAGAAAAATCACAGATCATGCAATTGATGCCCACATATAGAACTATGTATACCATTCACAATCAACTCGGCCGTGTACTCCGCCGAGTCCGCATCGTTGCGCGCCTTGCAAGTGTAGTTGCCTGCATGACCCGCATGCACGGAATCTATGGTCAGGATGCTCGCCTTCTTGCCTCCCTTGACTATGGACACGCCTGTGTAGGCTTGAATGTGCGCACCGTTAAAGAGCCATATGATATCCATGGGCAGGTCGCCCAAGTAGATGAGACAATTAACCGACACCGACTCCTCAAAGTTGATGGCATGATCGCCAAAGTCAAAAGGTGCAATCTTGGGGGGTACTTGATGTGGAAGGGTTGGTTCGGGTAATGGGCAACAAAATAAGAAGATAAAAACAGAAAATAATTCAGTTGACAGTAGACAGTTGACAGGCTTTGTGTACCATTCACCACCAGCTCGGCGGTGTAGTTCACCGAGGTGGCCCTATTGACGGCCACGCAGGTGTAGTTGCCCGCGTGATGATCGCGCACAAAGTCAATTGACAGTGCGCTGATTTTCTTGCCCAACTTCACCATGGACACATCGTAGACATTCTCACTGATTTCGCGTCCATTGAAGAGCCAAGCAAAACTAACAGGAAAGTCGCCCGAGGTGACCAGACACTGCACGCTCGCCGACTCGCCAAAGTTTGATGGATCCTCCCCAAAGTCGAATTGGGCAATTTTGGGCGCAACTTAAGAAGAAGATTGATTAACAGAGGTGGGGGGAGGATAACTTAATAAATAAAACCAAAATAATTATTCTACATGTTTAGGTAAAGCAGAGTATTAACCGTTCACTTTTAGCTCGGCCGTATGGTTAACACGGCCCGCTCGATTCTCGGCTATGCAGGAATAGTTGCCCGCATGCTTGGCCGAGACCGCCTCGATGGTAAGCTCGTTGATGCGTTTGCCTCGCTTGGTTGTCAGTATTTCTAGGTAATCCTCGAAGGGCCTATCATTCAACGTCCAGGTAATGTTAACGGGCAAATCACCGCCCGATATGGTACACTGCACATTCACAAATTCACCATAGCTCATGGACTCATCCCCAAAAGAGAACGGGCTTATGCGGGGCACAGCTATATAGAGGTTTCTCATATTACGTATCAGTTGCAATAAGATCAAAAGGGATTTCATTTCATTGTAAGCTCGATTCTCTGATATGCGACACATATTACAACAGCACACAATATATGTAAGTAGGGGGACATGGAAGGATGGCAATTAGAACAACTACAGTTTGATTCCTCGGTGCACCGAAGCGAATATACCCTGGCAGTTGCAAAACTCCGACACTGCAAGGGTATAGAAAGAGTCTCCAAATAGGCGTTTTTATACTCGTAGGGCTATAAACTTTGTGGCCACGCACCGTTGACAATGAGCTCAGCTGAATGCTCGGCACGACCCGCTGAATTGCTGGCAATGCACGTATAATTGCCCGCGTGCTTCGCCTCAATGGCATCGATCATTAGGTTGTGTATGCGCTGGCCACGTTTTTCTGTGAATATCTCCAGTTCCGGCAGTAGCGGATGGCGATTCAATGTCCAGATGACCGACACAGGCAAATCGCCGCCCGAGATGGTGCAATGCACCGACACAGGCTCACCGAAATTCATCGGCTCCGTGCCAAAGGAGAAGGGTGTGATCTTGGGAGGCACTGGTCATGTGTGGGAATTTAACAAAATTAAATCAAAAACTTAAATTCAAATCAGGCAAATCAAACTAGATGCTATATAGTTAAATAGATTCTCGTTATGTCGGCTGACAAACCATTCACAATCAGACGCGCCGAGTGGGCTGTCAGGCCTGCCTTGTTCTGGGCATGACAGGAGTAGAGGCCGGCATGGTGAGCGGCCACCGACTCGATGGATAGGACATTGATCCGTTTGCCAATGCGAGAGAAGGAAATGTCATGGTAGCTATCAATGGTGGCATTGTTTAGTAGCCAGGTGACATTAATGGGCAGATCTCCGCCCAGAATGGTGCATTGCACGGAGGCGGGCTCCCCGTAGTTCAGAGGCTCCTCGCCAAAGTCAAAGGGTGCGATCTTGGGCGACACTTAAGAGCAGTTGGAGTCATTGTTAGCATAGGTGTAGATAGTCGGGTTAAGAAGTATGTATGTAGATAGATGTAAGTATTTCCAATACGCTGGATTAGCTGGATTAGTATCAAATCAAACTGGGTCTGTTAAGCAACGAAGTTAGCTCGTTAAACGTAACCACAACCAACTCCCGAAGGTAACACTAGACTACCCCGTTAATCGAATGGAAACGAAGCGAAGCAAATACCATTGACAGTCAGGTTGACGCCGTATCTGGTGGTGCCCGCCGCATTGCTGGCGATGCATGTGTAGGTGCCCGTATGGGCTGGACTTGCGCTCTGGATGGACAACATGCTGGTCTTGCTGCTGATGCGGTTGGTGCGCATTTGCGGCTGGAGCATATCGCTGCTGGCATCGCTGTCGCTGTCGCTGGCACTGCGCTCAAAGCTCCAGTGCACCTTTATGGGACGATCTCCTTTTTGGATTTGGCAAAACAAGTCAATGGAGTCGCCCGTATTGATCACATCCTCGTATGCAAACGGCACTATCTGCGGCAGTACTGGGGTTCAATGTATGAGAGAGTGTAAAGTGTTAGGCGGGAGTCAAGAACCAAAACGAATGTACAAATAAAAGATCCTGAAATGCTACATAAATTCTAGATAGACCATTGACAAACAGCTCCGCGGCGTAGCTGCTGTTCCCTGCCGTGTTGCTCGCCACGCAGCTGTAGTTGCCCGAGTGCACCGCCTTGACGGTCTCCACGGTCAGCAGGCTAATGCGTTCGCCTATTTTGCTGGCCATCACGCCCAGATGTGGGAACAGCGGCAAATCGTTGTGGGTCCAGCGTATTCTCAACGGCAGATCGCCCTTGGCCACATGGCAGGTCAACTGTACGCTGTCGCCCTCATTGGCGTCGGCGTCAAAGCTAAATGGATGTATGCTGGGCAGCACTGCCAGACAAGTTGGGTCGGGATTGGGAGTGGAGATGGACATGGCAAACCAAACGGAATTACAATGAAATCAAGAAAAGTAATCTTAATACTAATTGTCTATTGGAAAGTGTTAAGGGTCACCGTTGACTTTCAGCTCGGCACTGTAGCTGCTTTCGCCAGCTCGATTGCGCGCTCGGCAGGTGTAGATGCCCCGATGCTCGGCAGCTATATAGTCAATATTAAGGGTGCTCGATTTGCTGGACATGCGACCAATAACCACGTCCCAATCGCCACTAGTAAGCGCCTGATTGTTCAGCGCCCAGCTGATCTCAATGGGCAGATCCCCCTTGATCACGGTGCATTGGATGCCCATGGTCTCGCCAGAGTTGGATGACTCATCGCCAAAGTCGAAGGGTCTAATTTGCGGGGGTACTGTGGGATGTTTGCGGTTGGGGTTTAAAAATCAAAGTGTCAAGGTATAAACGAAAAAGAAAAAATAAACTATGGATAATCATGATCAGATCACAAAGTTAAATATAGATCGAACCATTGACAACTAGTTCGGCTGTTTGCTCGGCGCTGCCCGCCGCATTGCTGGCAATGCATTTAAAGAGTCCGCGATGATGACCATTGATGGAGTCGATGCTCAATGAACTCAGTTTTGGTGACATTTTTATAATTCGTATGCCCACATTCTCGTTCGTTATGGGCTGTCCATTCAGGGTCCAGTGCAGCTGCAGCGGTGTATCCCCCTTGAACACCATGCACTGGACGGCGGTGCTGTCCCCGTAGTTGGAGGGCTCATCACCAAACACAAAGGGCATTACTTGTGGCGGTACTGGGCAAAATGTATATAGAAAAGCTCGAAGCTAGACAAAACAGCTAGATAACTACACAAAGCACAACAACAATTCACAGCTGTTCAGCAGTCTTAAATGCTTTTCAGAAAGCTTCAAGTAAATTCATTGCTCCAACATGAAACTCCGAATTCAATTTAGTGCTAGCTACTTAAGCATAGTTTAGTTTGTCGACTTATTTAGTATCTTATCTGGGCAAACCAACCATTAACTTGCAATTCAGCGACAGATTCGCTGCTGCCAGCCTCATTGCTGGCCGTACACTTGTAAACACCACGATGGAACGCACTCAGCGAATCGATATTCAGCATGCTCGTTCGCTGATTCCAGCGCACCAAGCTAAAACCGTTCTCGCCATCAATGATGGGCGCTGAGTTCAGGGACCAGCGTATATCCAAAGGTGAATCCCCCTTGGGCACCACACAAGTCGCACTGGCGATGTCGCCCACGTCGGCCGCCGCCTCGCCAAAACTAAAGGGCAGCACTTGCGGTGGCACTTGAAGGGGTTTAATTGGTGTTAGTTCAGAAATCAAACAAATGAAACAACATAAAAAAAAATAATCAAAATGTATATGAACTAAGTGCATTATGATCCTAATAAGTCCCACGACATGTTCCGCACAAACCATTCACATGTAACTCAGCGCTATATTCGGCGCTGCCCGCCTTGTTTGTGGCTATGCATTTGTAGATTCCTCGATGTCGAGCCTCCAGTGCGTCAATGCTCAGCGAGCTGGTGCGTGGATTCAGACGCGACAAGGTGAACCCGTGCTCGCCCGTTATAATGGGCGCAGAGTTCAGGGTCCAGCGCATTTCCATGGGCAAATCGCCCTTCGGTACCATACAAAATATACCAGCTATTTCGCCGGTGTTGGCGGGCTCGATGCCAAAGTCAAATGGTTGTATTTGTGGTGGCACTTTTTTGATGGGGGGGTAGGGACAACAAAAGAGGTGAGTATCAAATAAAAAAAACAGCCAATAATTAACTATAACTTAAATCAAATTCTATCAACATGACGAACCATTCACTTCTAGTATGGCAACATATTCAGCATAGCCAGCCGAGTTGTTGGCTATGCATTTATAACTTCCCCGATGGGCGGCCTCCAAGGAGTCCACGTTCAGCGAACTGGTGCGCTTGTTGAGTCGCACTATGGTGAACCCGAGCTCACCATTGACTATCAGAGCCGAATTCAAAGTCCAGTATATATCCAGGGGCAAGTCGCCCTTAGGCACCACACAGGTAACACTGGCCACCTCACCGCGATTTAGTGGCTCGTCCCCAAAGGAAAACGAACTTATCTGTGGTGCAACTGAGTTTAAAAAAAATTCGTCTAGGTTAACCCTATTCAGCACACACGCTCAGTACCACCGAATAAACCAGAGTATTGTTAATAAGTAGGAAAGCAATAGAAGCAGGCGGCTAGGAGAGAAGAACACTTTGAAGCTATTGAACTATTGAACGACCCACCATTAACTTGCAAATCGGCGGCATATATGGCCCGACCCGCCTGATTCTGGGCGATGCAGCTATAGGCCCCACGATGCTTGGCCTCGAGTGTATCCACACTGAGATAACTGGTACGACTGTTTAGCTGCATGACAGTAAAGCCATCCTGTCCCGATTCAATGGTCTCATTATTCAGACTCCAATATATTTTCAACGGCAAGTCTCCCTTTAGCACGACACAATTAATGCTCAAAACATCACCCATGTTGAAGACCTCACTGCCAAAGCTAAAGGGCAGGACATGGGGTGGCACTGTGTGAATGTAATGTAATGTATCAAATTATAAAAGAAGAACTTAAAAGGGTTAACTAATTTATAAAGCTAGGACCAGGTATCAGTTATAAGATCACAATTGGCTGCCATATACCATTGACTTTCAGTTCGGATGTGGTATAGCTAGATCCTGCCACATTCTCGGCTATGCACTTGAATATGCCCCGATGGTACTGCTCAACGGCGGCTATATTTAGGACACTTGTCTTTGGTGATAGCTTCAGTATGGTAATGCCCTCCTCGCCGTTGATAATGGGTCGCGAGTTGAGTGTCCATTTGATGGTTATGGGCACATCGCCCTTTTGCACCATGCACTGAACGCCAGCATTTTCGCCGGTGTTTACGGGATCATCGCCGAACGAGAAGGGTGCAATTGAGGGTGGCACTGACAAATAAATAATACCGGATCGGGTTGGGTGACAGAAATGAACATAAGGTAAAGGATAAACTGGAGCTACTACTGCAAGCAGAACTAAAGCTTAACCATTGACTGCCAGCAACGCGGATTGCCTGGTTTCTCCAGCAATGTTGGTGGCCACACAGGAGTAGTTGCCCGCGTGGCGAGCGCGAACTGATTCAATGCTCAGCACGCTGATGCGCTGGCTGGTGCGGGTGACAACAACGCCATCGTTGGTGAAGACCCGCCCGCCGTTCTTGGTCCAAGCAATGTCTAGTGGCAGATCGCCCTTGTTGACTGTGCAGTAGGCCGAGACCATGTCCAATTCATTGATGCTCTCCTCCCCAAAGGCAAAGGGCATCACTTGGGGCAGAACTGTACGGTTGGGTGGGTGGTATTTTTGATCAAGTAAAAGCAAACAAAAGCAAGAAGAAAGAAGAATTTAAGCAACATGTGACTGAAGGATTAACCATTGACCGCCAGCATGGCCGATTGCCTGGTGGCCCCAGCGTTGTTCGTGGCCACGCAGGAGTAGTTGCCCGCGTGACGAGCTCGCACGGATTCGATGCTAAGGACACTCAGTCGCTGGCTGTTTCTGTTGACCAGCAGGCCATCGTTGGTATAGAGGCGTCCTCCGTTCTTCGTCCAATATATATCCACGGGCAGGTCGCCCTTGTTGACAGTACACGAAACAGATACCATGTCCAGCTCGTTGATGCTTTCATCGCCAAAGTCAAAAGGCACTATCTGAGGCAAAACTGGGTGGGTTTTGGGAAAACAAAATCAAAGTAAATGAAACGCTAAAGCTGCTGAAAGTGAACAAGCGAACTAATAAAGCTGTTAACCATTGACGGCCAGGATGGCCCAATGTCTGCTCTCGCCCGCATTGTTGGTGGCCACGCAGGAGTAGTTGCCCGCGTGGCGAGCTCTAACGGATTCAATGCTCAGGACGCTCATGCGTGTACTGGTTTTGGTGACCACAATGCCATCGTTGGTATAGACACGACCGCCGTTCTTGGTCCAAGCCACATCGATGGGCAGATCGCCCTTGTTGACTGTGCAGGAGGCGGACACCATGTCCAGCTCATTGACGCTCTCCTCACCGAACTCAAAGGGCACTATCTGGGGCAGTACTTGGATTGGTTGGAGGGTTTAACAAATTATAACGTTAGACTACTCGTAACAATCGGTCTAGAAGAATGCACAACTACTAAGCGGATCGAGAGAGAGAGTGGAAGAGAGTGAGAAGCATCACCATTGACACGCAGCTCTGCCGTGTGATAGACAATGCCGGCAGCATTGCGGGCTACGCAGGTGTAGTTGGCCCTGTGGCGGGCATGGACCGACTCAATGCTCAGCATGCTAATGCGCTGCGTCGTCTTGGTAATCAATATGCCGTCGTTTGACATGAGACGCGCCACGCCGAGCTTCGGTTCCGGTGCTGTAGTCCAATACACCTCGAGCGGTGTGTCGCCCTTGTTGACCGTGCAGGTGGCCGACACCATATCGTTCATATTGATGGCCTCCTCGGCAAAGTCAAAGGGAACTATCTGTGGCGGCACTATGGTTGGACGGATAATTTATTGAAGCGAAAAGAGCGACCAGCGTTGCAGGGTTTCGTGATGCTGAAAATTCAACCCGCCCAGGAGAGATAAGCTGGCGCGCAACTTCCTTGAGAGAAGCTGGCGCAGTAATCAAAACGCTTAACTTACCCATGACTTGCACCTCCAGTGAACCACGAGCCGAGTAACCCTCCTGATTCTTTGCCACACACGTGTAAGTTGCCTGATCCGAATTGCGCTCCACGTTCTCAATAATAAGTGTGCCATTGGGGAAGACCTTCTGCTTGCGATTGATGGGCAGCGGGCGATTATCTAAGCAAATATGAGTTTTAGCAACCGATATATATTGAAATCGCCATCTCATCACTTACCGCGCTCCCAGACAATGGAATCGATGGGGTAACCCGCCACGGGGCATGTGACTATTAGGGTCTCGCCGGCAACAATTGCCTTCTTCTCCATCTGACGAATGTAGGGTAAGCCGTAGACATTTAGTTTGGCGGAATGCTCAGCCACGCCCACTTTGGATTTGGCAATGCACTTGTAGAGGCCACCATCGTTGGCATGGACGGAGGTTATGTTCAAATAGGAGACCACATCGCCGTTTACAGTGACATATTGGCCGACTTGATATCTGTCGTTGTTGGCAATCTTCTTGCCATCCAATTCCCAGGAGATCTCGGGTGTGGGGTTGCCACCGGCAACACATTTTAGGAATACACTTGGACCCGGCTCCATGGTCTCCTCTTGGAAGGCCTGACGGATGACGGGCGGATCGAAACGGCCACCAAGTTTTAGCTCGGCGCTAGCCTCTGCGGATTCCTGATCGTTGCGCACAAAGCATTGGTACATGCCCTTGTCCTCCTTCTTAACCGATTCGATGCGCAGAACTGGCTCACTGTGTCCAATGGGCTTGCCGTCCTTTATCCAGCTAACGGTCTTAATCGGGTTGCCGGTGTACTGGCAGGTGAACACGGCGGGACGTCCAAAGTCAATAGTTTGCGTGGGGGGATCGATTTTAGCCGAGAGCGGCGCGGTCACGGTCAGAACAGTCTCAACGCTTTCGCCGCCCACCGAGTTATTGACAACACACAAATATTTGCCCGAATCCTCGACAACGGCGTCCTTGATGATGAGTGTGCCCGAAACCTGCTTGACGCGATCATTCAGCACCACGGCCTGTTTACGGGTGGTTCCTTCAATGAATTTGTACCATCTGAAAAGAGAGGCACATATTAGTGGACGCGATTCAAGCACTTCAAGTTGGCAGCGGGAGAGCGGGCACAAAACGAGCAAACGTCACACAGAGTGTTAGCTTACAACCCTCACAGATTGGAGCTTGAGCTGGAATACTTACTTTGAATTTGGGCTCTGTCAAATATACCGAAAATACTTACCCTAGCTGTGAGTTGTGCACGGAACGTTTGCTTATTCTGTGCGCCACTTTAGGGATCGGGGGAAAAGTTCCTAACAGAAACGCCCTACGAAAAATCATCTACCTATAAATGGGCACTGGATAGCCCTGCCCCGGACAATGGCCTACAAATGTTTCACTCAAGGGAATCTCATTGATTTCTATGCTCTTGATAGCAATGCGCGGCTTAACATGACCAATGGGCTCTGTAAAGTTGACAAGTCAAAAATTTTACTGTATGCTCAAACGCGAAATCTGTATAAACTGCCTGAACGATGTCTAAAAGTTTAGAATAGAGTGATGAGTACCTAAATGCGGGCATGGGATATGCTTGCCCCTGGCATAGTATGGAAAAGCTGTGATCCCTTTTCCGAGTTAGCTCCTGCAAACGATCACCCGACATAGTGGGCGCTACGCTGCCAATGGGCTCTGAAATAAATCCGATTATCGAGTCTTACCACATAAAACTGCCTGAATATCGCTGAGACTGTACAAATATTACCTAAATGCCGGTGTTGGATAGGATTGACCTAGGCACAAAATGGCCAAATCGTTGGTAGCTGCTATTGTTATTTCCTGTAAACGACCACCGGAAATCTTAGGTGCCACACTGCCCACAGGTTCTGTAAAGCATCATTGACAGCCGATCAGGATTATGGAATACCTTTTGAAAACTGCCCGATTGTTGATTTATTGTAAAACTAACCGTATGATGGGTACGGGAAACGCTTGAGCCTGACAGAGCAAGGCAAAGCTAGTCGAGATCTCCTTGACAAATGTAAAGCTTTTCGACTCGCCCGAGAAACTGGGTACCCTTGCCCCAATGGGCTCTACAAGAGAAAATAAAAAGTTTATGGCCAACAAGATAATATTGTAAAACTGGCTGAACTGGTTGATGAATATTTAGAGCTATGTTATGGCTACCTTATCAGGGGCACAGGATACGCCTGAGCCTGACAAAGAACTGCGAAACTTTGCCCATATTGCCGCACAAATGTATAGCTTTTCATATCGGTTGCAAAAGTCGGGCCTTTGGCGCTGACAGGTTCTAAAAATACACGGCCAAAATAAAAAATTATTTCCGGAATGCGATTCAAACAGAAAGGGGATTAATCGAAAACTGTCTTAACTTTTACCTAATAAACGGCACAGGATATGCCTGAGCCTGGCAGAGCAAGACAATGTCGCTTGAGCTGGGACCGAGCAAACTGGAGATTTTTGAAGCGCTAGCAAATGTTGGCGCCTTCGCACCGACAGGTTCTGGAAATTGCGAAATTTAATCTGTCAGGACTTGTGCAAAAAAAATGAACTATTGAAAACTGCCTGATAGTTTCGAGAAGTGCTAAATAAAGGGACTAGTACCTCATTGCAGGCACAGGATACGCTTGAGCCTGACAAAGCAGCGCAAAGCTTTGACCCACGCCTCGGGTATATGAGAACGAATTGGAATCAGTTGAAAAGGTCGGCGCTCTGGCCTCAATGGGTTCTGTAAAGGGCATTGATAAACATAAATAGACTCTAAATAGAACACGAAAACTGCCTGAATTATTTTAAAGCAAAAATAGACTCAAGTCTACCTCATGGCGGGTACTGGAAATGCCTGCGCCTGACACAGCATAGCAAAACTTTGACCCACGGCGCGTGCATAAGAAAAAGAGTTGTAGTCCGTCGAAAAGGTGGGAGCCCTGGAGCCTATGGGTTCTGTAATGTCATGTTATGATAAATATTTTGTTCCTCAAATAGCACATAAAACTGCCTGATAGTAAGGATAACTCGTTAAACTTGCCTAATGATGGGCACGGGAAATGCTTGTGCCTGGCACAATAGAGCGAAACTAGCATTAATGGAACGCTCAAATATGCTGCCCTTGGAGTCGCTCGAAAAAGTGGGTGCCTTTGCGCCGACAGGCTCTAAAATAAAAGTAATCAATGCCATAATTAAGGTGTTCCCATAGAGCCAATAGAGCCAGTTGACAAGCGTTGGTCCAAGCCCCCGACAAAGACAACAGTTTACTAAAGAGTTCCCTGTCCAATTACCTAAACACTGGCACCGGGTATGCCTGGCCTTCACAGGTCAAGGCCAAGCTGTTGTGCTGGGGAGCATGTATGGTAAATGTTGAGGCAACGCTAGGAAAACTGGGCGCCTTGAAGCCAACAGGTTCTTGAGATACAACAGACAACGCGTTATTATTTGTTAGGAATAAGAAGAACTGAACTAACTGACTGAATGTTTGATGGTGGGTACTACGATCGGATTACCTAAAAACAGGCACTGGAAATGCCTGAGCCTGGCAGAGCATCGCAAAGCTGAAACCCAATGGAACATGCTGCTGGAATGTCTGCACGCCCGCGGGCACAGCCGGCGCCTTTGAACCAATGGGCTCTAAGAAAATAAGAGGTTATCATTTTAAAGTTACGCAAGAAACCGTTTAAACTATATCATCTTTTAATGCAGAACTTTAGGCAATCGCCAATAACTACTTTTGACATTTAGTTACCACATGAGATAGTATAAGCGGGGCTTACGAAAACTGCCTCATTGAATGGGAAGCCTGCGACCTTTAACCGTTGCACCTCAGTCAAAAAGAAAATGTAAAATTGTAGCCAAGTATTGCCAACAGGTGTTGTAAGACACTAAGAGCAAGCTCCAGTTGTATAAAAAGTCAGACAAAAGCCACACGCAAGCAGCAAAAATAATGCATTTGCCAACTTTAGACACTAAAAAAAACTTCAACTTTGACCTCCTATGTATGTACGTGCACTTTGCACGTGACCTGTTGACACAGAGGACACAAAAGGCGCTGAACTTTTCAAACATAAACTCGAAAAGTAATAGAAGAAGAGGGAAAGCCGGCAACAACAGACGCGCACAATGCATATTTAATTGGGGTCAATGTTAAGCTTAAGGTTAACGAAATGCCGACAACAATAACAACAGCTAGGCGCCCCGTTGGGGCATGCGCACCTTGTGCATGTGTGTGGCAACAGGTGGGCGGGCAAGAGCCGAGCCAAAGACAACAAGCGAAAGTTGACCCAGAAACGTGCGTTCATTCAATAAACCGGTGTGCGAGCGAGACGCATGCAGTCCACACAATCCATACAAACAAACGGCGCGCGCATGTAGGGGTAATTGTTTGGGAAATTTCGTGTGGATCACGAGCATGCGCACTGGCAAAGAGAGCATGAGAGAGCGCACACAAGTCGCATCAGCTGTTGTTTACAAACAGTCACGCACACAAGCGCAAAGCCATCGACACACACAAATGTGTGGGGGAGGGGGGCGGCAGCTGCATTTGATTGCCTTTTGCGGCGCGTTTCTATGAATACGCCCGCTGCCACCGGCTTCGGTTTGTTTATTTAGCTTACTTTTTATGAGTGTGTGTGCGCCTATTTGACTGGTTGGCGCGCACATTTTATGAATGAACCAGCGTTTGGCCCCTCGCTCGGGGTTAAAGTTCACACGCCTCATGTATAAATAAAGGCACGCATTGTGCACCGATTGCGTTGCGGCTTTCTGACTAACCTGCTAATAGGAACAGGAAATGCCTGCGCCGGGCACAACAGCACGATATCTATGCCGCGCTGCCGCTCGATCCCAGACCATTTCGTGTCAATGGAGAGAGTGGGACCCTTGGCCGAAACGGGTTCTGTGTGGGAACAGGAATTTAGGAACTATCTAGCAGAAGCCTTTGAATGTTAATATAGGGCATACAAGACGATTATTTTACCCAAAGCTTGGCGCTGGATAACCCTGAGCTGGGCAAAGCAGCGATATATCTGTGCCCATGTGCAGCTCAAAGGGTTTACTCATTATCGAAGGTATTCGCGGCGCCGTGCTTGAAACTGGCTCTGCAAAATAAATTAAATTAACTGACTGAAATCCCTCGCAATTGCTATTTCTCAGTTGTTTTTTTTTTTTATATTCTTTAACTATTCTAACCTGAATGCGGGCACTGGATAAGCTTGAGCGGGACAAAAAAGCGCCAAATTGGTGGACAGCATGCGTTCGATCCAAGAGCGTTTGATGTCGTTGGAGAGCAGAGTGGGTGCCTTACCGCCCACGGGCTCTAAATAGTCAACAGAAATCTTGTACAACGCCAAAAAACTTCAACCTAACTGAATGTTGGGTACCGGACAGTTTCGGCTTACCGAAAACTAGGCGCTGGATAACCCTGTGCTGGACAAAGCAATGAAATCGAATAGTTCTGATGCAGTTCGAGAGGTTTCTGGACCAGGGCTGGTGTTCTAGGGGCTGTACTTGAAATGGGTTCTGTGAATTGTTCGAGAAAAATAATAAAATACAAATAATTTCTGGCCTGATGTTGGTTTAGAATAACACCCTTTAAGCCCCTCACTTATATATTAACGCACCTAAAACTAGGAGCTGGATAACCTTGCGCGGGACAAAGAATTGCAGTGGCAGAATGGAATTGAACAGTGTTGGGCTTATACGTCAGCGCATTTATCTTTGGCGGGCTGCTGGCAATGGGCTCTGGAAAATGGCAACGAAATTTTATAGTCAATTGGAGAAAACCTGGCCTAAGCTTAATGTAAAGCCTAAATGTTGGTGAATAGAGCTGGACAAATAAAAAAAGCTTACCGAAAACTAGGCGCGGGATAGCCCTGCGCTGGGCACAATATGGAAATGCTGGAGTGGCCAGCCACAATCAAGGGACGTGACTGTAGGGGCGGCACTTTGGGGGCAGTGCTCGAGACAGGCTCTGAAAAATTGCATCAAACTAAACATAGAGCTAAAATAAACCACCTGAACCACCTGAAATGTTGGGCACTAGAGCTTGAGCTTTTACCTATAAACTGGTACTGGATAACCTTGAGCAGGGCACAGTAAGGACAAGTTGCTTGAGCTGGCGTAAGTTTTCATATCAAATTTGGCCAGGGAAACAACTTTGGGCACAGCGCTGCTAACGGGCTCTAAAGGAAAAAAATCATTTACATTTAAGAAACACCAAAGGAAAAACTGAATTCTGCCTGATTAGTTATAGAAGGGTACTTTAAATGTAACCTTACCGAAAGGCAGGCACTGGATAGCCCTGTGCTGGGCAAACTATGGCCACTGTATCTTGCACAGAAACATATTCCAGATTGTTTTTTTGTATCAGGGCGACCCGAGGAGCTGCGCCGCTAATGGGTTCTGAAAGTTATAGGGGAATGTTTGATTGGACAACTACAAAGGTGTTACAGGGCTTAGTCGAAAACTGTCTGAATGCCTACTGAAGTTGGTTTCGGTTGAGTTTTACCTAAAAAATGGCACTGGATAGGCCTGGGCGGGACAGAGCAAAGTAAAGCTGCCTGTTTGAGAAACATCCACATTGCGAGTCTTATCGCCTGAGGTTAGCCGTGGACCCACAGTGCCTACAGGCTCTAAAGATATCAAATTGAAATTTAAGCATTAAAACTGAAAGGTAAACGTCTTAAGTGCTAAAACTGCCTGAGCTTTGCAATAGCTATGGATTTACCTAAAAAATGGCATTGGATAAGCCTGGCCAGGACAAAAGAGCGTAAAACTGCCGCCTAAATGAGCCTCGGCGTTTTTTAGACGATTTTCAACACTGATTTTAGGCGCTACGCTGCCAACGGGTTCTAAGAAAACATAAGCATTAAGCTGGTTATCGTCAATAATTTAAATAGAGAAACTGCGTGAATGTTATAGAGATAAAGAAGCCACAACAGGAATTTACCTAAAGGCCGGCACTGGATATGATTGTGCTGGGCAAAAGAGCGTAAACGTAGAGCCGAGTTGAGCTGCCGCATCTTTGAGACGTTCACCAACACTTATTTTGGGCCCAACAGAGCCAACGGGTTCTATTAAAATCAGTTTATGTATTCTGATAAATGCTTAAAATAAACAACTCCTACGTACTAAATGAAAACTGCTTTTGTTTCAGGCTTGGGCACCCTCTTACCTATAGGCTGGCACTGGATAGGACTGTGCTGGACAAAAGATGCTCAGATCTCCCTTCAAGGGCACCTCTGCATCTTTGCGTCGCTCCCCGATGCTAATTTTGGGCGGCACGCTGCCAACGGGCTCTTAAATTGAACAACTTATTAAAGTTAATCAACAACAATACAGGATCAAGTTACGAACTTTGAAAACTGCTTAAATGGGTTCGGCAAGGGCCATAGAAATTTGTAGTAAAGTTTTTGGGGCGGGTGCGGCAACAATTTCGGGGCTCAACCCATCACAACTATTGCGTGTCATTGTTTGACCAGCCCGTTATGAATGGGCTTAATCATGCGACTCTGAGAGGGGGGATGGGAGCTGAAGGCTTATGGCTAATTACAATTTGTAGCCAATGATGCTTGAAGACTTTGCCATGCCTGAGCTATAATTGGAGAACTTTGGACGCACAATTACCTATAGAAGGGCACTGGATAGGCCTGCGCGGGACAAAAGATGGCAACGGTTTGGCCCAATCGAATGCTGTCGCGTGTCAGACCATCTTGCTTGTTGACACGTGGTGCCACGCTGCCCACAGGCTCTGCAGGATGAGGCACAAGTTAAAAGCGACTAAATACAAAGAGTATCTCTTATCAACTAGAACTGCAAGGCAAAGGATACTCGACTCGATTTACCTATAGGCTGGCACAGGATACGATTGGGCGGGACATTGTATGGCTATGGCCTGTGTGCTGCTTATGCGATCATGGTTGAACTCATCCTTGCGATTTACCCGAGGCGCAACACTGCCTATCGGCTCTGTAAAGGATATTGACTTTACTTAAATATACCCTACAGCTACATAACAGCCTGAATGCAAATGGGGGATATGCGACAGAAGACTGGCTTTGGGCCTTACCTAAAGGCTGGCATGGGATAGGACTGTGCCGGACATAACAGAGCCATGGATTTGTTGGATTTGGCAAGAAATATGCCCAATTTATCTTTGATTTCTACTTTGGGCGCTACGCTGCCCACAGGCTCTGCAAAGATAAGTCATTACGGCATTAATATAAACTACTCCCAAATCTGAAGCTGCCTTAATATTGGGCTGGTTTAAACTCATGATTCTTAAAGGCAATGCATTACCTAAAGGCGGGCATTGGATATGACTGCGCGGGACAGAGCAAGGCTAACGAGTTTTCAGAACTGGCTAAAAATATGCCAGCTTTATCCTTAATTTCTACTTTGGGCGCGACTGAGCCAACTGGTTCTGCAAATATTCAAAAGAAACATTTTCCTCTGTTCAGAATATCCTAAAGATCCTACTGACTGCATTGGCTCAAAGGTACTCGACTATGCATTACCTAAACGCCGGCATTGGGTAAGCCTGAGCTGGGCACACCAAACTTAAGGAGTTACTCGATCTAATGATGGCTATTTTGACTTTATCATTAATATCGACTTTCGGTGCAACAGAGCCAACGGGTTCTGAAAAGGAGAGTGGCAAGCACAATCCGCATTTGACAAATTTGATGGAATAATACTTGCTGCCTGAATGTTATTCTCACCTAAATGAGGGCATTGGATAGCCTTGAGCTGGACACAAAATACTTAGTGACACATTTAAGGCTTTTGAAGAGAACGTCAGCTTATCGTTCATGACTACCTTGGGTGCAACAGATCCCACAGGTTCTGTTGGGGGTTCAATTGGGACATAAGGTTAATAATATATTCTTGAGACTGCCTGTTGCTGGTTAAGAGCACCCTTACCTAAACGCTGGCATAGGATAGCCTTGCGCAGGACAAATTAAGCTCAGTTGAAGCCCAATATTTGCAAGAGATATTGCAACTTTATCTTTCAAATCAACTTTGGGCCCCACAGTGCCAATAGGCTCTGCAACAATAAAAGCAGCACGTGAATCGAGTGTACTATATATAGCTAAGGAGTACAACTGCCTGAATAGGATTAGGGCGTAATTAATTGTACCTAAAGGCTGGCATAGGATAGCCTTGAGCTTTGCAAAACAGATTCAAAGAAGTATTTGAACTTTTTATGGTGAAGTCCATTTTATCGTGCATGTCAACCTTAGGCGCCACACTCCCGACGGGTTCTGAAACAGTTTGATTGGACAAGCGACTTTAGTCGATCGAATTGGAGTATAGATAACTTTTAGAAAACTGCCCAAATATGCCTGTGAATCGTACCTGTACGCAGGCATGGGATACGACTGCGCGGGGCAAAGCAAATTTAAGGCTTGACCCGCAGGCTTATCAAGCCATGTTATACGATCCTTAACATCCACCTTCGGCGCCACACTACCAACAGGTTCTGCAAGCAATTTGGAAATCTTTAACTACTACAACGAATGCTCTAATGAAAACTGCATGAAAATTTGGATTGTGGCGAATCTTACCGGGCAGCGGGCGTTGGATACGACTGGGCTGGACAAAGTAAGCTCAGGGATATACCCTTAGGTTTATCAACCCACTTAATGCGATCATTAGCATCAACTTTGGGTGCAACACTGCCCACGGGCTCTGTAATATGCCAGAAACTTAACAAAATAGCCAGAAGGCTTCGGGGTAAACTGCCTGAATGCTGAGCGGGCCTTACCTAAAGGTTGGAACCGGATAGGATTGAGCTGGGCAAACTATGGCCAGACTGTGATTCAAAGCTGCACGAGCGTAGTTAATCTCATCTTTGATATCAACTTTAGGGGCTACGCTCCCGACGGGTTCTGTGAGCAGGAATGAATAGTTTGTAAATAGACCTCTATGGGAAATGTGGCCTGAACGTTGGGCTGAGCAAATTACCTAAATCTTGGCATGGGGTACGACTGGGCTGGGCAAATGATCGCCTTGGATAAGCCAAGCTGAGTTCGCGCGAATGTAAACTCATCCCGAGTATCGACTTTAGGTGCCACAGAGCCCACGGGTTCTACAATGGAAAATACATAAGTGCTTATGCTTAAATATCTAAATCTCAACTGTAGAACTGAATGTGGTCGAGGGGTTTTTCGAACTAACCTAACTAAGGGCACGGGATATGCCTGGCCAGGGCATTGCATGGAATAATCCTCAGACAACTTCACTTGCTGCACTTGAAACTTGTCGTGAAGACTTGTGATTTTCGGTGGCACAGACCCTATCGGTTCTATAAAAGAGTATATAATAATTACTAGTGAAATAATAAATTAAAAAGAAACTAACCGAACTATGGGTACAGGGTATGCTTGACCCGGACATTGCATAGAATAATCCTCACTCAACTTCACTTGAACAAACTGAAACTTGTCATGCAGATTCGTAATTTTGGGCGGCACCGAACCAATCGGTTCTAGTATAAGAAAATAAAATAAGATTATTTAACCAGCAGGCTAAACCCGAAATGTTGGTTAGGTCTCTTAGGCTTATGCTATGGAAAAGTAAACTAACCGAACTACAGGCACTGGATAAGCCTGGCCGGGACACTGCATAGCGAAATTGGATTCCAGCTTAACTTGCATCAATTGAAATTTGTCATTTATGTTATTGATTTTCGGTGGAACAGATCCAATGGGTTCTGAAATTGATTATTACACTTAAGCCTTGCTGTGGGAATGCAGATGCACATTTGAAAGCAGCCTGAAGTTGAGAAGGAATCGGATTACCTGTTGGTGGGTACCGGAAACGCCTGACCCGGGCACTGCATGGCATATTTAGAGCCCAAAAGTATTTCCATAGTGCGCACTCGCTCGAGCAGATTAAGTTTGGGTGGGACAGAGGCAACAGGCTCTAGCGGGAATAAAGACATACTTTTAGGCTTGGGTCTTGGCAACTACTTGAATGTTGAGTTGGATTGGGAAAACATACCTATATGCCGGTATGGGATATGATTGGGCAGGACACTTAAGACTCAAACTCCTGGCTACAAACGCGCGAGCATTGGCTACTTCGTCGTCTATGCTAACTTTGGGTGGAACGCTGCCAATTGGTTCTGAAAGCGACACAAAATGTTGACATGCCTTTAACTAGACCTTTCTAGCCCACGAAAGCTGCCTGAATGCTTACTGGCTCCGACAAAAGTCCTACCTATAGGCTGGTATGGGATACGATTGCGCAGGACACTTCAGGCTAAATCTGGCACCTTGCACGGTTCGCGTATTGGACAATTCATCAGCTATGCCAACCTTTGGCGGAACACTGCCTATCGGCTCTGTAAACATTGCAAATGTAACACAGTGTCTCAAATTATTTGAAAACTGCCTGCCTAGAAATGAGGAAATGGATCTAACAAAATAATCACTTTAATTATATTGTCTGCCCCTTGGTCAACCTGTCGTAAATTGGACTATTTGCGGAATTCCAAGCTCACAAAATGGCTTCAAGACATGCAGCACAATTTTAATGGGAGTACCTAAAGGCAGGCATGGGATATGATTGCGCCGGACAGAGCAGGGCAAATCCAGCCTGCTGGGCTATCTCGCGTGTCTGTAGTTTGTCCTGGACGTTTATTTTGGGCTTGACAGAGCCAACGGGTTCTACAATAAAAAATTTGAATTTCTTCGGTTCAGGACATGCAATAGAAAACTGTCTGCCGTTGGTCAGGCGAGGTAAAGACTTGTAGTTATTTTGCGACCCACCTAAAAGCGGGAGTTGGATAGGATTGTGCCAAGCAGAGCAGGGAATAACTATTGCCTAGTTCCACGTCTATAAACTGATGTTTGTCTTGGGCGTTGACTTTCGGACGCACACTGCCGACGGGTTCTAAAAAGCGTAGTTATCTTTAATATCAAAATTTGGGGACTAACTGAATGTTGGTCTGGCAAAGGGTTGTCGACTAGTCTTACTTGAAAACGGGCATTGGATATGATTGCACTGGACATTGTATGTTGAAACTGGTGCCGCCCTGAATTTGCATCATTCTGAAGCGTTCAAGAAAGTTCAATTTGGGTGCTACACTTCCAACTGGCTCTGAAATTCGAATGGGATAAAATGCCCGATAAAGGAAAATTTCCAATTTAAACTATAAAACAGCTGAGATGTTGGGCTAGTTCGCTAAGATTTTTATAGACAGCATTACCTATAAGCCGGCTGTGGATAGCCTTGAGCGGGACACAAGAGGCTCAGGCTATGCAAGTTCTTGACCTTAACATGTTTCAGATCATCCGCATTCGTTATTTTAGGACTAACACTACCAATGGGCTCTGTAATTGAGAAATGCAGCCCATTATAGAGGACTTATCAAAGTCTAGATCTTGAAAACTGCCCTAGTTCGCTTGGGGATAATCAGGGTGTCCATATTACCTATAGAATGGCTGTGGATATGCCTGAGCGGGACACAATAAGCTCAAGTCTAGAGCGCTCCTGCCCTTAATGTGTTTGTAATCTTCGCCTGTATTAATTTTAGGGCTAACACTGCCAACTGGCTCTGTAAATGTTTAAGCCAGGTTAAGGGAAATACGACAATAGAATAAAGAAAACTGCCTGAATTCGAAAATGGAATCTGGCTTACCTATAGAAAGGCACTGGAAAAGCCTGAGCGGGACAGAGCAAAGTAATGCTGTTAGAGAGCTGAACTTTGGTTGTGCGTGAATCATCGCCAGAGGTAAGCCTTGGACCGACGCTGCCAACAGGCTCTTTAGAAGAGCATTAAAAAAGGAATATGCCTTTAATTTACCGTATATGGTTGAGAATAAAGCCTTATGTTGGGATATAGAGCATTACCTAAAGAAAGGCACTGGATAGGCCTGAGCTGGACACATTAAAGCAACGCTGTGATTAAGCGGAACACGAGTAAGCGTTATGTGCTCCTGATTGCCATTACCATTGAGCTGTGGACTAACGCTCCCAACGGGCTCTAGATCGAATCGGAAATACACATGTGAGATACTATATTATTTGTGCCTAAATGTTGGGCTGGTTTACCTATAAAAGGGCACCGGATAGGCTTGAGCTGGGCACATAAGCATAGCACTCTGACCCCGTAATACTTTCGGAATTTTGATGGCATCATCGCCGGCTGTTACTTTTGGGCTAACGCTTGCCACAGGTTCTTAAGAGGATAAAATAAAACGTGATTTGATTGCTAGTCTATGTCTATGTAAAAAAAGCCTAAATGTTGGGCTAGTTTACCTAAAGAATGGCACCGGATATGCCTGAGCTGGACATAAGAGCGTGGCGCTCTGCTCCATGTGCACCTTGAGGATGCGAGACTCATCGCCGCTCGTGAGGCGTGGTCCCACACTGCCAACGGGCTCTGGCGAGGAAGATATCTGGTTTACACATTGGCAAGGCTTGGCCTGCCTTAAGTTGGGATAAGTCTTACCTAAAGAGGGGCACAGGGTACGATTGTGCCGGGCATAGCAAAGTGATGGGACGCTCTGCAGCGTATTGCACAACTTTAATATCGTTGCCAGAAAGCAGACGAGGACCAACGCTTGCAATGGGTTCTTGAAAATGTAAAAAACATTCAGTCTGTGCAGGACAAGGAAAACTGGCCAAAGTTGGGTCTGAGCGAACTGAGATGTCATTGGCTGGCCCACCTAGATAATGGCGCCGGAAATGCCTGAGCGGGACACAGCAAAGTGAGGCTGTTATTGGCTGCGCTCGTAAAGCTGCTACTTGTCTGTGTGGTTGGGAACTTGGGCGAAACCCTGCCGACTGGTTCTGTGAATGAATCGAAACGGAAAATGAAGTTTTAGATTTGCATTTAATTTCGGTAAAATATGACTATAGCTATGTACTGGTTGTTGGCACTTACCTTGGGCGCATTGATATAACATTTTGGGAAAGTTGAAATTCAATTATAATGCCCTGGTAAGGCTCTGGTAAGCCAAGCTCTTTATTAAAACGGACCAATTAAATTTTCCTCTATCTTAGCTTTATTTCAAGCTCATAGCATTGTCGAGTACCCTATCCCAACATTCAGGCAGTTTTCAATTTAGTACAGAGCAACAATTTTCTGACCATACTGCATAGACATTATAAGATTTAAGTATACATCAATTAATTTTAATTTTTTTATCCATTGATTTTTCCTCACAAAGAAAGAGATTTTAAGTAAAAAATCTTTTTGATTGAATATTGGATATCAGTTTCTATCAAAATATTGTTGCTCTAAAATATATATTTTTAAATTGTAAATAATGTAAATTACTGAACTATTAAAATCTCAGTAATTCACAGGCGAAGCAAGGAAATTGCCAATGAGTATATAAATTTATCTCACATAGCATTTTCCCTGTAACGCTTTCTATATTTGGAATATATTTGTACTTTAGTATATGGAAAAAGCAGAGACTTTTGTAATTGAATAAATTAAATCTTTAAGCCAATCATATTTATTTTTTAATTTTAAAAATTTACTTTAATTTACAATTTAATATTCCAAATATATTAAAAAAGTCACAAGCCAAAATTGTTAGCTTAATGCTTGACATTTAAGGCCAGAGACTTTTATTTTCACACTAAGAAAACTTCACACAGTTAAAATACTATTTTAATTTACAAAAATCATTTTTCATTTTAAATATAGTACGTTTAATATATTGCTTTATAGCTGCATGAAATTAACTTAACGCTGTTAAACCTCAGTTATCCATCTGTTAGCAAGTATTTATTTATTTTCCTATTTTGTATGCACATTTATAAGTTATTTATAAGTTGGCTTAAGTGATTATTTTAAAAAAATACCATTTTTGGTCATTATAAAATTTGTTTAAATTAAATTCAAGAGACATTCTTTGAAATTAATAAATAATAGTTTATTTTGGTTAAGACGCAAGCCTGTTTTAGCCGAATCGGCTTGAACTCGAAATTCCAATTTGTAATTCCCTTGAACTGAACTTTAAGCCGGATAATTTGAATCGAACAATATTTCAAAATAATTTTCTAGCTTAAGCCAATAAATTATGTGAATATAATTAATTAAATAAATAAGACTTTTCTTTTGAAAATTATAAGTAATCTGATAAGACAATGTTTAATCCAAAACATGTACTACGTATTAAATTTTAGGGCGAGGTTTGAACCGTAAACATTTGCTTTTTTTATTATTTTTGCAAGCTTTTCAATTTGTTTGTGTTCACATTTCAGACAGGTTTGCCTTGAAAACAAGATATGGCAAACAAGGTATTTCTTAAATAACTGCCACTAGAACGGATAACTGAGGTCCTTGCAATAGGATAACAATTGGCAAACAAGGCCGACTTACCTGTGATGACCAAACGTCCTTTGGTCGCACTCAGACGCGTCTCTCCAGTCAAACGATGCTTGGTCCGACATTGGTAGCTCTTGTATCCGTCTTCGGGTCCGACTTCACGAATGTGTAGCTCGCCGGAGGGCAGAACGAGGTATTTGCCGTCTAATATATATTGTTTTGAGTTGAAAAGTAATTAATAAAAAATATATTAGTGATGACGTTACCGGGGTAAACTTAAGCTATCATACAACAAAGCTACTTTTTAGACAATTAAAAAAAAACTCAATTAAAATCGTTGCTCTAATTGAATTTTTCGCATCGCCATCGAAAGCCACATGACACAGAAATATAAAAATAAACCAGGAATTCATATATTTTCGGTCTCTTAGATCTTAACGCTTTGTGCAAATTAATAATTATGTCAATTGTTAGTATCATGCAATGTGGCTTTCGAGATGTATATTAAATATTTAATGAAGTTTTAGTCCATTTACATTTGCATATGCTTATGCAAGACTGAAGTTTTTAACTTTTTACAAGAATTTGTTTTAAATATTTACCGCAATTTTCAGTCTTACAACAACAAGCAACATTCCGTTCAGACAATAATTTATTGCATTTTTTATACAATACAATAAATTAGTCTAAAATAATTATTTCACTTATCACTAACTTTACACCATGACAAGCTGTTTCTTGTCGAAAAGAAATTGTAGAAAATTTAATCATAGTTTTAATATATACTGTTTTTAATATTCTGAGCAAGGCTGCAAACCGGTTTTGAAACGAGCCAAAACGAAATTCCAAATTAAATCGAAATATATATTTTTTATTTTAGAGCATAATATAATATAATAATTAATATATATATAATATCGCAACATTTACTACTTTCTTGAAAATGCAAAAAATCTGAAAAGTTAAGTTATTTCGATAATTTAATTTATATTATTATTTTAATTGTTCTATTGAATATATACAAAATGTGACCAAGAGAGGTTCGCAGTGAAACCTAGGTTCATAGGTGTAGAAAACCAGTTAGATGAACCGAACCTTAAGGCAAAGCATTAGTTCGAATTGTGAACTGGGCTAACGAATATTATTCTTGGGCTTGCAGCCTCGACTTTCACAAATATTATTGAGCTGCTCTGTAAAAAAATTCTTCTAAAGAGTACAGATATTTCCACAATTTCTTTTCTTAATGATATTCATGCTACAACAAAAATGCCAATATTTTTAGCTGATGTGGATTATCATGTGATGATTTTTGTTAAACAGCCTTTGGGTTACGATATATGGTACATGTTTATACATCTTTACATATGCACAAATTGATGATATAATTATTAGCATTTTTGTTAATACATATTTACAGTTAAATTATTTACACTAGGCTACAAAACAACGCTACTTTCAACTACATGAAGGGGTAGGTTCTTGTGAATGGATTTTGGCAAGTCAGGAGCGACTCTTGGAGTTTGTTTGGAGTGGGAGAGGATGTGAAAATAAAAAGAAGAGATTCGGAGTTTGGGCGGAAAATAAAAATAATAAAAAAGATAGAGAAATTGAAATTGAAAGTAAAGCAAAGCAAAAGTAATCGAATGCCTAACAGCGCAGTAGTTTGGGGCCTGTTAGAGAAAGTCAGGGACCAAGGCACTGAATGATCGACTAAACAAGCTGGCATTGAAATTTGAAATTTGAATTGGACGGGATTTGTTTTGTGTGTGTGTGTGGCATGACACTAGAAGCAAGGCTAACACTTAGAAAACTTAAAGCTAGTGGTTTACCGCTAGCTGTGACATCGGCCTGCGGATATATTTCACGCTCCTCGTCCTCGACCCACGAGTCGACCACAATAAAGTCGGCAACAAAACTGGGTATATGACATTTAAGGATTGCGCTGTTGCCGCGCAGAATGGACTCATCCATGACATTGACGCTGTAGGATTGTGGCACAACTGCAAAGTGAACGAGACGGAGAGAGAGAGAGAGAGATAGGAAGATGGGCTTCCATGAAATAGGCTGATGATATCAGATAAACGAGGATAAATCATAAGGTAATGTTGGATGGTTGGCCCCTTCATGTTTCTACAATGGCAATAAGATACGCAAAGGTGCTGTACCCGTTATGTTCTTGGTATAGACACCGCCCTCGGTATCAATCCAATCGGTTATGTCGATGTGATCGGCCACAAACGACGGCGTCTGACATTTGAATATAGCTGCATTGCCCTTGATGACGTACTCATCGTATACTTGCGACTCAAAGAACTGTTTGACCACTGAAATGGCAATAATTTGGGTACGGAAACATAAGCAGGGCATGATTCGAAAAAGCAAAGATAATGTTGGAGTATAGGTTAACAGGGGAAAAAGAGTTCTGGCTACAAAACTAGACTAAGGCCTAACTTAATCGATTAAAAGCTGCAGTTAATGCTATACCCATGGACTCGTCGGGCAGTGGGCGTATTATTTCCACGCCCTCCTCATCTAACCAAGCCTCAACGTCTATGAAGTCGGCCACAAATGAGGGCACCAGGCACTTGAGCGTGGCAGAGTTTCCCCGCAGCACAAATTCATCGATGACGCGTGTCTGATAAAACTGATGCACAACTAGGAGAGAAACGAAGAGTTGGGCGCATAAAAATGATTAAAGAAATTGTGAAATAAATGAATTAAGGGAAACTTTGTGGACACAGTACATTTGGGATTGGCGCCCCTACGAATATTAATTAGAAATATAATCGATTGCAGTACCCGTCTCCTCGGCATTGTTGGGATAGTAATTGCGACCCTCTGAGTCCAGCCAGAGATCGACGAAAACGAAATCCGCCACATACGAGGGTATCTCACATTTCATAACTACAGAGTTGCCACGAATAACATACTCATTGTCGGCCTCCGATTCATAGGATTGTATGACAACTGAAGCAAATGATTTTCACAAAGAAAATTAAAGTTCAAAAGTTCAAATTAGGGAAATAAGAGTGGGAACAGTCGTTACGAACTAAGTGTTTACATCTAATCTAGTATAAATAGGTTTTGATTGGACTGTACCATAGGCGCCAGTTGAATTATCCCGCCACAATTCGACCCCCTGATCGTCCACCCAGGCCTCAATTTGCACAAAGTCGGCTACAAACGAGGGTATCTTACACTTGACCACCGCCGCGTTGCCCTTAATGACATACTCGTTCTCGGCCTCGGTTATATAGAACTGTGAGACGACTGCGTGAAACGGGTGTTAAATAAAGTAAAAGCAAATTAACTTGTAAAGCTTGGAATTGGTTGGGATTGGTTGGTGCTAATTAAAATTAAGGATTGCAAATCAATGCGAGGCACACCATAATTATCGGAGAAAGTCAAGACATTGCCCTCCTCATCAATCCAAGACTCGACACGCACAAAATCAGCAACAAACGATGGAATCGAACACTTTAAAACGGCAGCATTGCCCTTTATAACATATTCGGTCATAATTTCGGCCTCATAGAACTGATTGACCACTGAAAATGTTTTAAAACAAGCGGAAAGTAAGAAATTATAAGAAAGTTGGAAAGTGAAATGGAATATTGAAGGCCCGTGTTAAATTAGTAAAAACTAAACTAGCTTAATTTTTGCGATTAGCTAATACCATAATTATCAGAGTGACGCAGTTCGGTGCCCTCCTCATCGATCCAAGACTCAACCCGAACAAAATCAGCCACAAACGAGGGTATGGAACATTTAAGTACTGCCGCATTGCCTTTGATGACATACTCCATTAAAATATCGGCGCCATAAAACTGATTAACGACTGAACAACAGATGAAAATTTAAGCAAAAGTTATATTATTTGAATGAAATTAGAGTAAAAAGAATCAGGAATTGGAGTGGGAAGCCGCTGCTTAAATATAACAACCACAATATCTGGAGAATCTACCAAAATTATCCTGCGGTATATACTCCGTGCCATCGCTGGCTACCCAGGCCTCAACGCGTAAAAAGTCGGCCACAAAACTTGGTATGGTGCACTTCAAAACTGCCGTATTCCCCTTGATAACATACTCCGATACAACTTCAGCTTCATAGTACTGGTTGACGACTGCAAAATGTTGAGAAAGTATTATGCAACAACGAGCAGGCTAGTAAAGAAAACCACGCACTGTAGAAAGTAGATCAAAAATGAAAAGAAAATAGCAAATAGCAAATATGGGGTAATGGGGTAGACGGGAACTTCTAGTTTCCAATATGATCGATCTTATAAACTGTGGAATCGCTTAGGTAAGTATATACCCATGCCCTGTTGGTCCTCGAGTGTTCCATAGAGTTCGCCCTCCTCGTCTTGCCAGGAAACCACCTGCACAAAGTCCGCCACAAACGATGGGATGGAACACTTGAGAACTGCCGAATTGCCGCGTATGACATACTCATTGTTAACCTCCGACTCGTAGAACTGCTGCACAACTGCGGGGAGGGGGGTTAAGGGGAAAATGAAAATGATTTCGTGTTGAGAGTGCAAGGTAGGGGAATGGGGCAACACCTTGCGTGTTACGGGCGTGTGAAACTCTTCAGCAGCCTAATTGAAACAAGAGAGGTTCAGCTTTTAAGCGACAAGAGAGTAGCAGGCGCATTTAATGGGCCTTAATGCGCAATTTGATGAGATGTACATAAATATTTAGTTATGCGCCGCGCAACTTCCCTGAGAAAGTCCACAGGTTAATAATAGTTTAAGAACATGGCTCATAGACACGCACTGAGAAAATTAGCCAGCATACATTTTGTAAGAAGGATAAATGCAAGAAGAAAACAAAAAGAAAAGAAAAGTTAATGAAAATATGGTTTGGGGAGGAGCACTTAAAATTCTATGATGCTGGTCAAACACAACTGTACATGACTCTCTCTCTAAAATAACCTCAAAATGCACAAACCATATTCGGTGCCTGGTAAAAAGTCCTCATTCTGATCCGTGTGCCAGGACACAACACTAACAAAATCAGCCACAAACGAGGGTATCTCACACTTCAGAACTGCAGCATTTCCGCGTATGACATAAGCCTTATTTACATCAGTATCGTAGTATTGGGCAACGACTAAAGTAAAGCCACAAAGCAAAATAAGAATCATAGTTAAGCTAATTCGAAAAAAATAAATTAACTAAAGTATTTGTATATTCAATAACAAATCATCAAATAAAAGTGGAGACACTTGACGAAGCTTGGAGAATTGTTCTATTTGTTGGTAACCTGGCCAGTGTTGGTTAATTTAGTTAGGTCTTTGCAATAATACACCTGTGTCGCTCGTATTTTACAGTTATTAGTGAAGCAGTTTGGTGTTGTTTGTTGGTGGGTGTGGCTAGTACTTAGTACTTTAGTGTTGGTTAACTGTACTTGCACTTTACACGAGTTTTCTGTGGGCATATGCTGTGTTGTTCTGTGTTGGTTGTGTGTGAGAGTGTTGTTGTTGTTGTTGGGGGTATAGTTTGCAGAAGTAGTTAAAGTAGTGCTGTTTTGCAACACACGCACAAACACTCATAGACAGAAGCACACACCGACACACACACACAGAGAGAGAAAGAGAGAGGCAGAGAGCCAAAATCACACACCATATTCAGTGTCTGGATAGAAATTCTCTTCCTGATCGGTATGCCAGGAAATGACATTTACAAAATCAGCTACAAACGATGGTATGTCACACTTCAATATGGCCGAATTGCCGCGTATGACAAACGCCTTGTGTATATCCTCTTCATAGTGTTGCGAAACGACTAAACGTATAGAAGAAACAAAATAAATCTTTATAAAGTAAGATGGGAAAATAGATCGTGAATGGAATAATGGAGCTGTGGCCATGCGATTTTAGTACACCTAAGCCTAAGAATGTAGTGCAAAGTGCTATGCTAGACTTTTTTTGTTTTATAGTTGTTGTTCTATTGGGAGCAGCGCACCATATTCTGTGCCCGGAAAGTAGTTCTCCTCCTGGTCGGTATGCCAGGAGACAACCTCAACGAAATCGGCCACAAATGAGGGTATCAAGCACTTGATAACCGCCGAATTGCCGCGTATCACATGCTCCTTGTTCACATCGGCCTCGTAGTACTGGGCAACAACTGGAAAGTGGTGTGGTATGAAGTGCGTTTAGTGATGATATATTCCATGAGACTCTACGATAAGGCCAAGCAATTCTCACGCTCGAAACACCTGTGCAAACATGACAACTTTTTCGACTTGGGTTCCTGGAAACAATTTGCGCATTTCCTGTTTGTCGGAAAACAATTAAACGGCCAATTAAGTGGAAAGTGCGAAATAAACATAATCACAGCCAGGCCCAGTCCGAGCGCTATATTAATTAAAGCCATTTAATTCAACCAGAATTTCGAGGTGTAGCCCGTGCTCCAGCCATATTTCATGTCGAGCAGCAACATGGTTGTGGCCATCATCATTATCATCGGTCTCCACTTTAAACATATTTTTGGCACTAAGCCAACATGATAAATTCACTTAGTTAATAGGAACAGAGACGAGTTCATGCTAAGCAAAGCCAAACGACAATAATAAGCCAGAGCTGACTATGGAGCAGGGGACTAGCTCAGGTTGGGTTAGGTCTCATGGCGTGAGCTAATTGCTGACTAACACGTCGAGCTACGAGCTGCGATGACTAAGCCAGGTGGCAAACCTAGGGGTTGCTCATATATGATGGTAACATAATTAGGTAAAAGTCATTAACTTTCGGCCTATTTGGACCTGGTTTATGCAAGCGGAAGTAATGGATATTTCCACAGCGATTTAGCTGACAGTATAGACAGAGTGTGTATAAATAGGTTCACGGAGCAACACACAACTCTGGCGAGTCGCTGCTATGAACTCTGGCTCCAGCTTCAAGACAGGCATGTGTTGATGTGACAATTACATCATCGGCATCATCAGCACTGTCGAACAGCTTGCACAACGATTAATTGCAATGAAATTGCATAGACGACAGGCCAGACATATGGCAAATCCCTCGCTGCACTGCGAGGTGGAGGTGGTCCAAACAAGGCAACTTTACCGACAAAGTCCGACATTAACATTTTAAAGCTTTAAGCTTCGCGCGAACATTGCCCATTGCTGCAATCCGGAAAAGCAAAAAACTAACCTATTAAAGGGATTTCAATTTCAATGAAATTAGCCAAAGAAAAAGTTTTTTCAAATTCGACTAGTAGATGTTTTTTTCCTTTTCGCGGCATATATAAACAACCAATTGTTTAAATAAATCATCAGAAATTTTTAAACGCTTTCCCATGTGCAGTTGATAATTTAACCTGGTTTGCATAAGCGAAGAAGTTGACAGCCCTAAAAACAACGTAGACAGCCGATTTATCTGTTCTGAAACTTGCTGTAAAACTGGAAAATTTATTTGTTTGAGTGCAGTGCAAGCATTGGATGTGGTTGACATTATAAATAGGTTTCCTAATTATTAAATATTTGTGACTAGTTCAGTATAACATCGGACAATTATTTTTTTAAATAATATAAAATACAGATTAGGAAATTTGACTTTCCAGAAATTATAATAGTTCGTAAATTAAAATCGCTGCTTTTAATGCATCGGACGATGTGAATTTCGTATTTAATAAATTTTGCTATACTTTTTTCAATATATTAAAAGACATTTCATTTGTTTTTATTTGGAAATTAATCTCCATCTTTTGAAAGCCATAACTAGAAGTTATTAAAGCTGTTTAATAAAAACCTATGCTTAAAATGATTTTGTTTAATGATCGATTAATCACATTTATCGATCGCTGAGAACGAAGGTAACCAACATCCATTGACGTGCTCTGCACTCTGTAGTATCCAACGCGCTCTCTCTAGAACACCGACAACTTACCTGCTCGCACATGCACGTCCCGGGATATGATGGAGCCAAACTGGTTGCGTGCCAGACAGGCGTAGACCTGGGCATGCACTTCCTGACGATAATCCTCGGCGCGGAAGGGCGGGAAGACCAGCTTGCCATCCGACGAGATCTGACGCAGGCCGGGCACGTCACCGACGGCGGTGCCATCGCTACGGACCCAAATGATTTCGGGCATGGGATTACCACTGGATTTGCATTCGATTTCGGCGCCCGTGGAGTTTGAGAAGTCAATGCGATTGGTGGGTTCCTTGAGAAAGACGGGCCCCTTTTGGTCAGCATCCGGTGGATTGGCAGCTAAAGTGCTGCTAACAGTGGCTACGAGAGGAAAAAGCGAGAAAATGGTCAAGAATTAGTACAAATAACAATTAAAAACTCATAAAGCAGCTTAAATATTCAGGGCAACGCAGCGGAAGTTGTGTATACACATATACTCCAATACAAATATGCATAGCTCCAAGTCCGTATATATATATTTGTCATCATATTTGTCAGTCGACATGTCAAGTCAATTGTCAACAGCTTGGCTTTTGTTCCATAGCTGTCGTGCTTGGTGCTGCTCGACAATTGAATGCTATGGATCAGTGACTGTCGCTATTGCTGCCCAGCGGCAAGCCCGTATGTGCTGAACGGTGACGGTGTTGCTCTGACAACAACCACATCGAGCAAGAGTGCTTTAATCGGGGTTGCCCGACAACGAGATACGCCAAGCCGCCGGTACAAAAATTGGAACACTCTTCTTTGCATACTTAAGTACACAAAAGAAACACGTAGAGCTTAAGATACTTTTTTTTTATCCTATGGGAAATGCATTCCTATTCCAATCTTCTCAAAATTTTGTAATTTTAGTGCATGTATATGGCACCTAAATATTAGTATTTACCAAAGAACATGGTATTAGTGAGTGAAAAATAATGAAAACCAATTTATACGAAGAACCTGCATCGGACATATGCTTAAATCTTATTTGGAAATCGTTCTGCTGGAAACAATCGGAGGCATCGACAAAAATATTCATTCTGCGTATGATACACGGCTCTAGCTTTTATAGACGGATATGGCTAGATCAACTGTGCTCAAGAATATATATATATTTATAAGTGCAGCGAAGCTTCTTTGTCTTTGTTACATCTATTTGTACAAAAACATTATACCCCTTTTAATCCACACCCAATTGGTTCAGGGTATTTTAGCAACAATAACAACAAAAGCAAAACTATTGAAACTGGTCGCTCTTTCACTTCCTCCGCACACAAAAGGCAGCAGGGGCAAAAATCGTTCGTTGGCACTTTGGAGGCTGTCGCACGACAAAATCCGCCAGAGATCAGCCCATGGACCAGGCCGAGAGAAGTGTTGAGCTGATAGAGGTGAAAAAAAGAACCATCAGCCCCCAACTGGGATTGTCACTTTTGCATTGGCAAGCAATTTCATATTCAATTTTATGCACTGGCATGGTCACGGCCCGCCCCTTCTGCCCCTGCACAGGTGCTTGCAATGACAACGAGTCAGTACGTTGCAGTCGGGTGCAACTGACTGCTTAATACTCTATCGCAGTTTAACGAAAACTTAAAGCAGGGTAGCCACTTAATTTATCTGCTTCTCTGATATGCCGCAATACAAGTTTAGATCTTAAGAGAAATTGATCAGTAGTATTCATTTATAATTTGTTAACTCTCACTCTAAGTGGGTGGGAGATAAACTTCCGATTTGCCAGGCCCCCATGGAGTCATATATTCTCAACACCTTATCGGCATACGCCTTATAGGTACGCCTTATTGTACGATGCTCCTGCGGAAAACGGACATTGCCCAAACTAAACAACTCTTTTAACGGGTATAAAAAAAACTATTCTAAAAACCCGCAATTTTTATTTGAAATTTTATAGTTAAAAGAATGTTATTATTATACTTTTAAGAGTACGTTGTCAAACCGTTAAATTTATAAAGCCACGCCCATTTAGGGTTTACGATCATGGGAGTTAACTGCTTTTACGGAAAATTATATTTTTTTACAAATATGGTATGTATTTCTCTATATCAACTTTTTGTCCTGACAGACTGACTGATTGGTAATCAACGCACAGGCCAAATCAAAATTCTCGTAGATGCCAAGCTTTCTCAGTGAAAATGCAAAGATTTTTTGGGCGCAGTTTGAAGTTTTGTGCGATAGGCTTTAAACTGATTTTTAAAGTCCTACATAAGAACTTAATGAATACGGGCTTAAGCGAATTTTAAAAATTGTGTATGAACACGGTTGTTTGAAAGTTTTTGGAGTTCCAGAAACTCCGAGCAGAAAGCTGCGTGGAAAGCAATTTCTAATCTAATCTAAAGACCACTTAGACATGAAGGATTTTTAATTCGAAATATGATTAACCAGTCAATCAATAAACAAGGTCAAAGAAGCTATTTAAATTGTTTGCCTATTACGTCGATAACCCAAAGTCCGCGAAGCACTTGACTTTCAAATCCATGTAATCATTAATCAGCCCTAACGATAGCACAGGATAGATGGAATGGACGAAATATGAATGTGTATTCTGTATTTTTACCTTTTAATTAATTTTTTTAATTTTCTGATATTTAAACATTTTTCTATCGTTCTGCTTTACTGTAACGACTATTTCGCATGTCCTTCAACCGCGCGTTGTTGAATTTTTGGGTCATGTGGGCACTTGTCTCTAATTTATCATTTCCATTCTCGCATTAATTAATGCTCAGCTCGCCTTTCAAAACAAACAGCACGAACAGCAACAAATTAGCTGCGAAATAATTAAAAAGAGGGCGCGTGCAGTGGGCGATTGACGCACATTACTGTGTCAGTCTCCACAAAACACTGCACTTACAGTGTTGTAAAACGCTTTTTAACGCACTTTCGTAATGCAAATCAATGTTTTATAAGTGATACGCACTTAAACCCTAAACCCTAAACCCTAAACCCTAAATGTTTAACGATAAAAAAATGCAGATAATTAATCTTCTCCTATTTTCAGCATAGCTGGTTACAGCAACTAATTAGAAATATTTTTGCAATTCTAATTTTATTTTGATTGTACACATTCCGAAAGAACATTCATAGTCTTTTGCCTAAGGCACAAGTTTACCACAAGCGGCGTGTTGCCCTGACATTTCAAATGAAAACGAATTAATTAGCCTTACAACAACACCAACAAGAGAATAACACAAAAACTGGAATGACTGACAAATTGAGGCTTGAGTGTGTCGCATATAATATGTACGTATTTTTCCAAGTGCTGGAACTTTTCATTTTCGGTTGCCGTATTGGATATCTATTGTTGGACAGTTTTAGGCATCGTAGCTTACGACAATTCCTTAACTTTAAAATGCAGGAAATGCGCAGACGACGCGAGGCGCATTCAAAAACCAATTCCTTTTAAATTATTAAAATGCGCAACAGCGAACACATGGTAGACATATGAACATCACAGGCTCTGTTGGCAAGTGGGCACGTGAGTCTTGAATAAACATATATGAGTGGTAAACATTTACATATTATTATAAATATATATCTATATATACGTCTGCATGCGCCGCAAAATGGCAAGAAACGATGAAGACGACAATGAGGGACGGACTTTGCGAATCAAATTATATCTTCCAGCTGTTACACATATGCTTTTCACTTTTGGAATTACGGAAACGATTAGAAGCAATTGTTTGGGCAGAAAAAGGCTACCTAAAACTATATGCATATATATCAAATCAGCATTAAGCGCGTATGTGAGTCACACAACGTTGTCTGAACCCATTGAAAATGGCTAAGAAATTACATTTATGTCTCCCCACAGAGTTTATATATGTATAGAAATACTTCACAAACTGAAGAACTTACATTTAGTAGACCCCCCATTTTTACCGCGCAGATTAATTTTATTTCAGATCAACGAAAGCTTACCCCGTCTCTACGATATTCCAGCTATCAGCGTATATTGGAGCTAGAGACTCATAATTTGAATGGGTATATTAATGAGAGATCCCTAGATTTTGGACACCAGCCCTCGTTCCACACAAAATTGAAATTTTAGGAGATAAAGCTACGCGTTTTGGTATATACATAAAATTAAATTGAAAATTGAAACGGATTTCCTATAGAGTGGAACTGTGGATAAATGTTTAGAAAAAAGTTCGAGTGATAGTAAAGACAGCTCGGCGCAGGAAATTAGTTATTATGGTATTCAAGGCATTCCAGCCGATAATGCAAGATCCATAAAGCTCCCTGAACAAGAGAAAATGCCTTCTTTTATATGTTACTGCCATTTCAGCTTTATAAATACGGGTATGAAAGAGGTGAGCAAAATATTTCTGCTTACATTTTTAAAATATATTTATTTCATATATTTGTTGTTTACCAGTGCATCGTAAGAGTAGGAGATAAAATATATAAGTATTATATATTTAATCTTTGCCCTTGTTGTTCCCTTGCTTGGTGCGACACTCGCTGCTATTTATACACTGAACTTATTGAAAATTTATTTTAAAAAAGGGCATACTGGTTTCGTAATGTACTGCAATTAACAGGCGAAAGCATCTCTTACCCCACTAGTATAGAAACTGAAGACCTCAAATTTGAAATAAAGGTTTTTCCCGCATATTCAAATCAGAACGAGTTGTATTTTTCTATATTTTTCCCATCGTCTTATGTCATTGACTTTTTGATGTAATGATATCAAAATATTAAAAGTAACATTCCATTATTCCCCCCACAATAAAAAAAAATAATAGTATTACATAAAAACATTAAAAATATTTCCATTTGTGGTAACTTTCCATCCTCCCCCCAGATTAAAAAATATCTAATATTAGAGGCATTCCCTTGTAATCTTGTTTATTCAATAACTTATCCTATAAAGATACGTTTATTGTGGATGTGAGTATAAAAAAAGTTTGAATATCTTGGAGGGCGGTGAGTACAGGGTATTATTTAGTCCAACATTTACTTATTACTTGTTATAGTTGGTTTTGCTTTGCGACTTCTTCTTTCCGTTGCACTGTTTGCCTCGACCTTTTGGAATCTTCGGTTTGTTTGGTTTTTTTTTGCAAATCTTTTCGGCAGGTGTTTTTTTGAATGGTCATATCAAAGTGGCTCGGTCAGTTTCTACCCTAACTTGAAGTTTTGGCAAATCGCAAGCTTAATAAACAAACCAACGAAACCGGTTCCATGCCGGCAACGTCTTTCCAGATGCTGGTGACGACAGCAGCTGCTCGACGAATGCGATTTATCCCAAAACGAACACAGCAACAACAACTGAACGCAAGTTTATTACGTCTCTCAATTGTGTCGCGCAATTTTCCAATTACATA